CACATAGGGATGTAGACTTCACCATTGAATTATATCCTAGTACGTCGCCCATTTCTATGACTCCACATAGGATGGCGTTAGCTGAGTTACAAGAAATCAAGGTCCATTTCAAGAATTATTGGACAGGGGGTTTATAAGACTGAGCACTTCACTGTGGGGCACTCCGGTATTGTTTGCCAAGAAGAAAGATAAGACTCTTTGGTTGTGTATCGATTATCGATAGTTGAATCGAGTCACTATCAAGAATAGGTACCCTTTGCCGAGAATTGAGGACTTGGTTGATCAACTGAGAGGGGCACGGGTCTATTCCAAAATAGATCTTTATACCGGTTACCATTAGTTGAGAGTTAGGAAAACAAATATCCCTAAGACGACGCTCAGAATGCGGTATAGGCATTTCGAGTTCACTGTGATGCCATTTGGATTGACAAATGCTCCAATGGTATTCATGGATCTCATGTATAGGGTGTTCCAACCCTATTTAGATCAATTTGTCGTGGTGTTTGTTGACGACATGTTGATCTACTCCAAGTCTGAGGAGGAGCATGAGGGTCACTTGAGGATTGTTCTTCAAACCTTGAGGAACCATCAGTTGTACGCCAAGTTCGGCAAATGTGAATTTTGGCTTACTGAGGTGAATTTTTTGGGACACGTGGTGTCAGCTTCGAGTGTATTTGTAGACTCGGAGAAGGTGGAGGCAATCATGAATTGGGAGAGACCAAAGTCAGTTTTCGAGATACGTAGTTTTCTGGGATTGATAGGGTACTACAAGAGGTAGCTGAGTGAAAGTGGGAGCATGTCACAATAGATTTTGTGACCCACTTACCATGGACATCGCGGGGACATGACGCAGTATGGGTGATAATGGACCGGCTTACAAAATTGGCACATTTTTTGGTTGTACGGATGACCTTTACTCTAGAGGAATTCTACAGGTTGTATATACAAGATATTATCCGGTTGCATGGGGTGCCCGTATCTATTGTGTTGGATCGGGATCCTAGGTTTATGGCTCTTTTTTGGGAGAGTTTCCAATGAGCTATGGGGACGCAGTTGATGATGAGTACTGCTTTTCATCCCCAGACAGACGGTCAGTCAGAGATGACCATCTAGATTTTAGAAGACATGCTACGGGCATGTGTCCTAGATCTCAAGGGTAGCTGTGAAGAGCACCTACCATTAGTGGAGTTCGCCTGCAACAATAGTTATCAGGCGAGCATATACATGGCACCCTATGAGGCACTATATGTGAGGCCTTGTTGTTCTCCGGTTTGTTGGACGGAGGTAGGAGAGAGACCCTCTACAGGTCTAAAATTGGTTAGAGACACCTTAGAGAAGGTGGACTTGATACAAAAACGTCTTCTCACGGCTCAGAGGCGACAGAAGAGCTACGCCAACAAACGGCGGCGACCTCTAGAGTTTGAGGTGGGATATCATGTCTTCTTAAAGGTGATGCCTAAAAGAAAAGTGGTTAGGTTTGGCAAGTGGAGAAAGTTATCGCCGAGGTATATCGGGTCCTTCGAAGTACTTAAGAGGTTTGGTACAGTTGCTTACCAGTTGGCGTTACCCCCAAATCTATCGGGTGTTCACGCAGTATTCCATGTCTCCATGCTCTAGAAATACACCCCAGATCTGACTCATGTGGATTGGACCGAGCTTGTTGTAACACTCCCACCCTCCACATGGCATAATATTGTTCGCTTTGGGTCCACTAGCCGTCACAGCTTTGTTCCTCCCAGTATCCCTAGGAAAATGCCTTATGTTATGTAAGAATAAGGGCATACTAATAAGCCCAGCAACTTTCCCCTCCCTAACCGATGAGGGACACTAGGATCTCATAATCCACCCCCCTTAGGGCTGCACGTCCCCGTGCAGCAGTACGCCAGCTACTTGCCCGCCCACTACACGCAAGCACGGCAGGGGCCCATATTCGATCAGGTGAGAGTCAACTCTGATACCAACTTGTAACACCCCACCCTTCATATGGCATAATATTGTCCGCTTTGGGCCCACTGGCCCTCACGAATTTGTTCCTCCCAGTATCCTTGGGAAAAGGCCTTATGCCATGTAAGGAGAGGGGCTTACTAATAAGCCCAACAACTTTTCCCTCTCTAACCAATGTGGGACACCAGGATCTCACACTTGTTATTGACGTGGATGGGACCTTCGAGGAGGGACCGGTGCGTATCATGGATAGCTGAGATCAAGTTTTGCGAGACAAGACCATGAGGCTAGTGAAGGTGTTGTGGCAGCACCAAGGAGTGGAGGAGGGAACATGGGAGCGCGAGGACACTATCCGTACTAGTTATCCTTTCTTATTCGAGGATGGAGGTACATTTTTATAGTTATGAGCATGATATAGTTGTAGCATATGCATGTGGTTGAATGTGCATGTGTGTGTGAATTTCAGGGAGGAAATTCTTTTAAGGGAGAAGAATGTAAAACCCGGGTAAATTTGAACTTTTTCTGAAAAAGGGTAAAATGGTAATTCACCACTATAATGCAGATTTTAAATAAGTATTTCTCTAGATCTCGGATGACACAACGGACTTCACCATTGGATTTGTCTTGCGAAACTGAGTAACCTAGAGAATTTTCGTCGAATTTTGAAATAATCGGACTTTACACGTATTTTGAGGCAACTGGATAGAATTTCTTTATAATTGAATTAAAGTTCAAATAAAATTAATTTGAACTTAAACCGGGATCAAATTAATTATTTCGAGGCAAAAACGGACCCAGACAATGAGGTGTGTGGTGCGACGTGGACCAAGTGTTAAGGGTTATAAATATGAGCAAATATCTGATTTTGGAGGAGAATTTTCTGTTGAAACCAGTGGGTACACGTTGGGGAGAAGAGGAGAGGAAAAATAGAAATTTTAAGACTTGTTTCTCAGATCTACAAAGTTTCGCCAGTCGGAATTCTTCGAGTCAAGAATCAAAGTCGATCTCCACGGCGAAGGTTATGCAACCACACCAAGAACGAAGGATTTCACCGAAGATCCAAATAGGGAATTTTGGAAAATCAAGATTTGGAGGTTGGTGTTGGTGTTCTTGAAGGTTCTATCCTTNATCGGAATTCTTCGAGTCAAGAATCAAAGTCGATCTCCACGGCGAAGGTTATGCAACCACACCAAGAATGAAGGATTTCACCGAAGATCCAAATAGGGGATTTTGGAAAATCAAGATTTGGAGGTTGGTGTTGGTGTTCTTGAAGGTTCTATCCTTCATTTTATGCTCCAAGAGGTAGGGTTCTCTCCTACTTTGGTTTATTTCCATCCTATGGTGTCCATAGGAAATGGGTGGGTTGTTTTGAGTGTTTTTAACATTTGCCCATTATAGTTGGTTTAATGGAAATGAGTAGGCTCAATTCTAGTGTGAATTGGTAGTTAAAAATTGCTAGTTTGTGATTTCTTGGAAATTTTGATAATTGAGTATGTGGAAATCATTGAATCTGATTTTTTTTGAGTTAGGTGATAAATTTGGACATTTATGTGATTACATGATTTGGTGCCTTGAAGGTGTTTGATAGAATGCCTATGTGAAATAAAGTGTGTTATATTGACATAGATTATGTAATAACATGCTTATGTTTGGTTGTTAAGTATAAAATGTTGATATATGTTCATTGATATATTGTCATTGTGTTGGATAAAGGTAATTATATGCACATGATATAATTGGTCTTGGTATATTGATATACGGTTAAATTGCTTATTTGGCATTCATTGCATCTTGGGCATGATAATGACATCACATTCATGGACTTTATGCATAAGTGTGGGTGTGTGGGTGCATGGTTTAATCAAACATCATACTTGGTGCTTGATGGGTGGACTCGGAAAAGTTAGATTGAAGATCCGATTGAGTCGCATGGTTACATGCATGGAAACTTGTGTCGGATATAGCAAGAAGGGCTAGATTCTCCCTCAGGTGCAAAACTCAATTACTAGGTTCACACACTCCCCTGAGGTGAAATTCCAAAAAAGTGTGATGGTGTACGGAACCAGCAGTTGTTATACCAAAATCCGTTGCCTAACAAAGACACGAGATTTTGTTTTATAAAAATATTCATTCAATAGGTAACATCCATAATGATTTAGTTTTATAAATACATCATTTTTATTTCAAACAATCATTGGATGTATTTTTCGTCAATTGATGGATTCATTACACATGTGCATTGTATTGTGTTATGGGAGTCGGTGAGGACTCGGGTTGAAGTTGCATGAGTGAGTATCATCTGATATCATGACATGACATGGTAGATTTTCAATCTTGAATTACATGTTCTTGTTTGGAATGGATAATGGTTGTTGATTGTTGCATGTTCACATTTTGTATGCATCTAGGTTTGGGAGTTGCTTCTGTAGAAGATACTCTATTGAGAGTAGCTCACCCTATAAGGGAAAATATTTTAGGTGCAGGACATACACCAGTGGACGACTATCATTTGGAGCCTCAAGGGTGAAGAGAGGCCGGCTTGTGGCTTTTAGTCTTTTTTTTTAACTAACTTTTGCAAAGTTAGTTTTGGGCATGTAATGTATGTANAGTAGCTCACCCTATAAGGGAAAATATTTTAGGTGCAGGACATACACCAGTGGATGACTATCATTTGGAGCCTCAAGGGTGAAGAGAGGCCGACTTGTGGCTTTTAGTCTTTTTTTTTAACTAACTTTTGCAAAGTTAGTTTTGGGCATGTAATGTATGTAAAAGAATTATAATTTTGAATTTGTATTAACTATGTTTAATGTATAAATTCATGACGTGGGAGTATGGATAAATGGACCCAGTGTGATCAATATTTACTTATAAATGGACCCGGTGTGGTCAACGTTGTATATTAGACCTCGGATGGGTCATGTGATTGTATGATACACAGGTTGTGTTTTGGGTAGAGCTTCCCGTGGAAAGGAGACTCTGCCCAAATTTTGTTAAATTAAGGACCCCCAGTTTTGGGCTATCACAGCTTCCCTCTTGGCCTACTGGGCGCCTCCCTACTAGGCTCCTTCCCCTTGGGCATCCCACCAGCGCCTTAGTAGCCCCTCTCTCTCCCACATGGGTGTTGCCCCTCTCTCTCCCATGGGCGTTGCCCCTATCCTCTCCATTAGGGAACCTTCTCCTAGCACACCGTCTATTGAAGCTCTCTCCACCAAATCCTTCGCAGCTAATCTAGAATCACCCTTGAAAACTGATCTAGCATCGCCTAGAGCCAGTGCCCTAGCACCAGTGGCTTGGGCGTCGTCTGCCTCATGGGAGCCAGCCAACTTTCCATCTCTCCCTCTTAGTGGATTATGGGGTAAGGATGTAAGGAGGGTTTCTATGTTTTGGTTCCAAAAGAGGTGAGTTGGGGAAGATGGGGATGCTCTCTAAAATTTTAAAGGTTGGCACCCAAAAGATAGAAAGGGAGATCCAAGTTTAGTGAAGACCGGACACAGAAGAAATGGTTAATATAATAGGTGCCCAACCATGGAGCTATCAGAAAAAGAGAAAAATTTCCCAAGTATAGGAGCAAGAAGCTAACACCGTGGAGAATAAGAAACTAAGAGCTCACTCATGCCCTCAACCCCTTTCTCTCGCAAGCAATTGGGGCTTGGGGCATGGGGGCAAATGATGAGCCCAAAGTCAACTAGGTCAGGCCCAATAAATCAAGAAGGCCTAAGTCAACTAAAAGGGCAGCCCAGGCCCACTTTGACATTTCGATCCAGTCCGACCTTGTTTAGGATCTAAGAAGTCCAGAGAGATAGGAACACGTGGGAGAAACTATTAGGATACACACTCATAAAAATTCAATCCTACCTTGATTGTACTTACCAAAAGAATAGTATCATCTCCCTCACGTCACCGCCTCACCATACCTATATAATGTAAGCCCTCTCCACATAAAAAGCATCACCTTGAGACCTCAAGACACCTTTACATCTGAGACACCTGCTCCTACTTCTAATACAGGACAATCAATCTGTGCACCACCATCTAGGCACACACATGCTACCACCTTACGTGGACTTTAACCTAGGACCCTTCCTGCTTCGTTACTTGCTTAGTGGACTGTGGTTATGGATGCATTAGGACACATATAGAGCAATGTCGATGAGAAGCATATTTTCATATTTCTCATATTAGATTCTCTTGGCGAGAGAATGTTCGAAATGAGAGAGTGCAGAGATCTATTTGTAGTGGGATCATAATGCTGGATTTATCGATGAGGACGACGATCCAATGACACAATCATGGGATAGTTAGGATGGTGATGGAGACAGTGGAGATGATGCGGCTACATGAGCTTCTTAGGAGACTTTGAGTGTATGACTATATGGGAGTTTTATGAGAGTTATTCATTCATGGCTTGTACTTAAAGTACTCTATTTTTTTTCTTGTTGACTTTTATTTTTTATTGATTATTAAACTTGTTTTATTTTCATTTGTTTTGATGTACTGTTAGTCATGTGATATTTGATGCTTTGCATATTGAGACTTTTAAGTTAAGTGNTTGTACTTAAAGTACTCTATTTTTTTTCTTGTTGACTTTTATTTTTTATTGATTATTAAACTTGTTTTATTTTCATTTGTTTTGACGTACTGTTAGTCATGTGATATTTGATGCTTTGCATATTGAGACTTTTAAGTTAAGTGTCAAGTTTGTTCTTTGCCTTACTTATAAGCCTATTCTAGCTACTTGATTTGTATTTATACCCTCTTGTTTTATCATGATTCTATGTCTTGTTTGATATGATATGTCATTGGATTGACACTCTGTGGCAAATTGGGAAGAATAGTTTGGGATGACTTGATTATGTACCCTGCTTTTTATGGTATGTCATTAGTTTGGCACTTTGTGACAAAAGTGGGGAGAATATTTTGTGTACATAATTGAGAATTCGGGGATATTTTCACTTGACTAGCTTAAGTAAGTTGCACATCCTTAGAGTAAGGGAGAGTTTGTTCTAATACTTAGGGGAGTACCTACACAAACTTAACATGATGTCACCTATTTTATAGTTGTTATTTTACTTGTGAACACCAACTAATGGGAGAACTTATTGTGCATTGTCATTGCTATATCTATAGGTTCTCAAGCATATTGGGCAAAGTAGTTCTTATATATGTTACATATTTACACTTGCATGATATTAACATGAATATGCCCTATGATTATTATCTTGGTGATTTCCATACCTAAGATTGTGTTATGTCTTTCTTACTCTTTATGCTTTTCACAGGGTATTGATTTTAGTGATGATGTGCAGGATGATGATCTTTAAAGCTATATCTAAAGATAACTCTTCTATTTAGAGATTAGGGACATATACACTAGTGTTGAGATTTGTTTACAATTTATTTTGTTCAATGGTTTGTGGGTTGTAATCTTAATTTCTTAGTTGTCTATTTTGTCATGACATAGCCAACGGGGGAGACTGTAGATCATTTTTTGTAATTGGATAATTTCATGAAGTATACTTAAATCTCAACCTATTCCATGGTCATGATGACACAATGATGAAGATTTGAAACCGTCAAATGGAAGGGAGGGGATTGTTAGATCACATTTGTCTAATTCACTAATTTTTTGGAGTGCATTGTAAATCTCAACCTATCCATAGTCCTAATCCTATAAAGATTGAAGATTCAAAAACGTCATTGAAGGGAGAAGATTAAGCATCAAAACTACATCATTTTGCACTCTGAATTCATCTTCAAGCTTAGGAAAAAAATTAATGGGATACCTAAGATGATCCCTTAGTTTAATAGACTTTAGAAGATTAGAGTTAAAATGGAATCGAGACTAATTCATGTATGGATACTAGGTGTTTTTCAAAGAAAATATTTTCTAAATCGTTTTGTGTTTTGGAAACATAGTTTGAGCCATTAGTGGACCCCACTTGAACAACACCCTTTAGTGCTCAAGATGACAAGGATTTTGCTTGGTTTTGGGCTTAAAAAACCAGTAGGGATTGCCCTATGCTCGCTAGCCTTCACTAGAGCAGTCTTTTCATGAGTTAGGGAAAAGTCGTGAAAAGGTTAAGTGCAAGAGGAGTAGGGACTACTGAGGTCACTCAAGCGGTCTTAGAGGTCGCTTAAGTGGTCCCAAGGTTGCTCGAGTGGTCTGCTCTTCCTAGGTCAGTTTTAAATTCATTTTTCATTGCCAAGACCACCGCCCTATAACAACCCTCCCACTGATTGAGTGGTCATTCACAAATTTGATTTTCTTGTGGACCAAGATTACCCTCATTCCTGACTTATAATTAGGGAAAAGCCTTTCCTGCAGCTTGGGTGACCCTTTAACAAGCCTTTTGAAGAAAGAAATATATCTTAAACCTAAGAGCTTCCACCAAAACCCTAGATCCCAAAACCCAAGGCTACCATCCAAATATTTCACCCAACCTCACAACTTGGTGTTGAAGATCCTGATTGGTTGAAGACCAAACACACTGGTGTGTTCCATTCCCAGGATAGTTAATGTGCCCAAGATCACTCAAGGCCTAGAGGATCCTCGTGGAGGTGAGTCCAAGTAAAGCTACACATAACGTCGAAGATGGAGTTTCAGCAAATAGGGGCATCTAACCATTATATTGGTTGACATATAAGACTCTAGTACTTGTAAGCTGATTTTGGGTTAGTTGATTGGGTTTTGGTGAACCAACAAGGTTCCTGGTGGTTTCTCCCAAGGAGGGTTTCTCGAATTAACAAGTCATTGGTGTCATTTATTGTATTTCATACACACTTGTGATTTACATCTTTATCATCCATAGTTGTGCATTCAAGAGTTTGGGGTCATTGGGATTTGGTTTCCTTGTGTAAGGCTGAGCATTGAGTGTTTAACTAATTAAATTAATACACAAATCTTCATAGGTTCATAGGGTTGTGACAGTTGAAAAGGGATTCTCACCATTCATCGTTAAATTCGTATGAGAAGTGCTAATTAATATAGAATTAGGTTTAAAATTTATGATTGAATAAGCTACAAGTTTAAAAACTTATTCACACCCTATATGGAGTATGGTGTGCTCCACATGTATAATCATAAAGGAAGATCCACAACATTTCTCCCCCTCCTGGAACAACAATTAGTATTAGAGTGTGATTGGCCTAAGTTGCACGTAGATACATTGTAGGCATATTTTATTATTGCTTACCTACCTACATGTTTTCATTCTAAAGATCTATTGTCACTNCATTTCTCCCCCTCCTGGAACAACAATTAGTATTAGAGTGCGATTGGCCTAAGTTGCATGTAGATACATTGTAGGAATATTTTATTATTGCTTACCTACCTACATGTTTTCATTCTAAAGATCTATTGTCACTACTAGTTAGTTTCAAATTGAGTCTCAGAAAGAAGGAGGTTCAATTGCATGACCACCTTGGTTCGACGAGTCTAATTTTGCATGTTGGAAAGCTCGCATAAGAACGTTTTTAAAATCTATAGACGAGAGAGTATAGGTATGTGTGCAAGAGGGTTGGATGCCTCCATTAGCCAGCACACCAGTGAAAGGTGTTGAAGTGTTTGTCGAAGTGAAATCTCCAAAGACTAGGTGTACAACCCAGAAAATTTAATAAATCAATTAAATGGGTGATACGGTAATTAAGCCCTTTAAGCAAGGTTAAAATTTTGAAATTTTACATAATTCAGATGATGAAACGAACCTCACCGTTTGACTCATCTCGTAAAATGAGTTTGGCGTACAAATTTTGTTAAATTCCAAGATATTCAAAATTTTCACGTTGTTAAGAGGCAAAATACACGATTAAAATTCTAGCAACTGGGCTTTTGTTCGTGAGACTCACAATATAATTAAAATAGTTGCTCAACTAAAATTATTCATTATCCAGATATGACGTGTGTCGGAATGTGATTGGCTCTCTAGTATTTCCAATCAATTAAAAGATGACCAGTGGCAACTCCTACACCAAGAATTTAAAAGCCTACAAGGAAGACTTAGTCTTTTATTTTCCTTTGCCAAAAAAATTTGGAGAGAGAGGAATAGAGAAGAGCTTCCAACTTCTTCAACTCTTATTCTTCTTCCTTCACACTTAACTCTCAATTGAACCGTTAGATCTTGATCGAGCAAGAATCGAAGTCGCTCTACATAACGAGGGCTATCTACCAACACCAATATTGACTATTTACCACCATTTTTTGGTTTAAGGGTTTGTGGCTAGAGCTTTTGGGAGGTTTGGTTGGGCTTTTCAAGGGACTTCTTCACCACCATTTTCTTCTAAGAGGTGGGGTTGCCTTCTATATAGGACTAATTCCAATTTAGTGCATGTATATGTTATGGGAATAATTAAATGTATGTTATTTAGTATTGGGTAAATGAGAATGTTTTTAAGCTGATTACGACATTTATGTTCAGTGTATAAATTCTATGCACTTTAAATGTTTAATGAAATGCTATAATGTGGACAAGGATGCTATGTAGGTGTATTGATGTATATCACATGTTTGATGAAATGCTAAAATGAGAAATATTTGTTTTCTTGCTATGTTTGTGATTAACCCTAATTGAATTAAGTTAATAGGTCAATTGTGTTAGTTAAATGAGTTAAAATAGTCAAAGTAAGCCGAATTAGGGTTAGTGTGTAAATTAGGGTTAATGCGTTAATTGTTGTTATTTTTAGGGTTTTGTGCGTAAATGCTGCAAACTAAAGAGGAGCCATTTGTCAAAGTCCAAACCAATAGGGGTCAAAGCATAATTACAAGAAATTAGCATGGGACACCACACTAACTAAATCAGTAACCTAGGGGCATCCAGACGGTGGTGGTGGCATTCGGACAGTCCCCCAAACCACCTCAAGCTCCTTGACCTCGCATTGGTTGAATTGTGCAACAAAGCTTTTGATTGGGCCTTCCAATTTTGCCACCTTAACTAGCTCCTCCAATGCCTATGAATAGGCCCTATTGGAGTGCATTTCCATTCCATATTTTGTGAGAGGGAAAGCCAGAGAGAGTGGAGGAAGTAAAGGGAGTTCAG